ATCAGATTGTCGACTGGGTGTGCCTGGTCCTTCCGATGTGCGTGTGGACCGTTTCCTCTCCATTCTCAAGTAATTGCATATTTGTCTATCTGTTTGTTTTGTGTGTTGATCGTCCTATGATCGCGATTTTGAGTGTGTTTTACAGACGTTCAAAAAAAAATTTTTATGGTTTTGTCTAGTATGTAAATCGGTACGGAGAAAGCGAGACAAACGAGGAAAAAATCGGACAATAAACGTTCCCGACTACTTAAAATTTCTTTGCAGGAAGAAGTGACGAGAAACAACCGTCTGATGTCGTGGTGGATGCCGGACCGTTATACATTGATGTCGCAGAGGTCGCGAAAGCCTTGTCGTTACCGACACCGACAGAGGGAGGACAATCCACCTCTCAACGGGTTATCGCCTCGGAGGAGCAAGGACTGCAGTCTACTTTAAAAGTTAGACCTTAGTAGAGACATGTTAGTCTAGGTAGACGTCGGGCAAAATCTCTAAACCATTACCTTCCTTTTCTCTCTCCAACACAAAAGGACTGTGAACCACTAAGGGACTGGTGCCCCTGTGTATAAGTACACATTTTAATGTTGCCATGGAACACAACGCTCGCCATGAAACACGGTATTCTCATAACTCCAGTGAACATACTCCAAATGGCCCAACACTTTACATGTTTGATAACGATGAAGCCCTCAAGACATCTAATGCTGCGTTCACACCGGCTTCAGCGGCAGTGGTGGGGGGAGCGGTAGTCCGACACGTTTCTGCCACCATGGCCATCACAACGGGGAAGCCCTGGCGGGCAGACATGTGTGGCGGACTTCCGCGGATTCCGGATCCGGAAGTGCCAGACACCGATGAGGCGAAGTCATCTTCTTCCTCCTCAGCAAACGGAGCCATAACCCGCACGGCTGCGATGGCGAACGTTGGTGGCGTTGCCTCGGCCATATCCTGGTCTCCCACGTCCACTACCTCGAGATCGTCTTCGGCATGGTCTGGTCCCAGGCACTCGAAAGAGAGCTGATGGGGATCAGCGCCCGCTATTGAGCTGGGCATGAGGGACAGGCGACTCCATTTGCTTGCCTGGAGGTAAGATTTTTTACTTGTTTCGAATGCTTTTCTCAGGTGTTGTCCCGCTCGCTGAAGAGAAAAGGATGACAGTCAGGAGGTGTAGCTGCCTTATATACTGTGCGGCCTGCGCGCGCATTCAGGTAGGCTCGCCCTGATTGGCCGGCTACGTTTATGCAAATTCAGTGTGTGAACGCTTGCGTATCATTGTTGAGGAATAGTACCCATAGAAACCCCATGGAAACATTACATTACATTAAACTTCCCACGTTTCAGGCTCTCGCTCCATCCTCTCTGTGTGATTTGTTACAGAAACGTCAAACTGCTGTACAGAAACTTTTGTTTATACACTTTATTATATCAAAGGGTTTAGGGTTATTATATATTTCTGATGAGCCTGAGATACTGTTAGGGATATGCCTTAAGATGGTTCGCCACATAGATTTGTACCCTTAACATTTGTATTTCACAGCATCATCTGCAGGACAATGTACAATATCTTGTGCATTTTGGATAAAATAACTTGCCTCAGTCAGTGCAGGTCCTGGTTCAGCATGGCTTTGACAAGCAGTGCCCATCCCGTACTGCGAGGGCAATAATAAGGTGATAATATATATCTACAGTGCCTATACTGAGGTCCCTGTCTGGGCCTTATATATACAGTCTATGGTCTAGACTCTAGGCTCTCATAACCCTGAAAGGTCACACCTCATGTGGTGCCCAGCCCGTGGTACAGCCTACACAGTAACCATGACCATATGAAAGAAAATCCTGCCATTAGGTTATCATTTTTATGTTATAATGCATTGAAGAAGACAGCTTTACAGTCCCCAAATTAAACCTACAATTCACAGATATGAAATTCCTGGCCTATCACATCACTTTTTGTTGGAGTAGGGTAAAACAAGTATTAGAATATCCTGTTTCCAAACAACCAATACAATTTTTCCATGTAGGAAGAGAAAATTAAGTTTCATTTCTTGAGAAGAGAGATGCGGATTTATTCTTTATTATTTTGAATGTAGATGTTATCAGCTTTTTGATGGATAATTTCAGTCTTTCCGCTCACTGGTGATACAGCGTTACAAAAATAGCCTCTTAATAGCCAGACTTTACAGTCAATATACGCCCACAATTATTCGTCATTAACAGTAAAATGTGCCCTCATTAACTCGTCCTAAAGCGTGCATCCTGTCATTTTGATTTACGAGTGTGACTCGGTGACGGATGGTCTCTGCGTATCACTCGTACTATTCTGGCTCACAGATTTGGTTGCATATGGTTGTTACCCATAGTTCACAACCTTCACCCCCGTCACCTGTTCAGTTTTCAGCCTTGTCCTGTCAGGAGAGCAGACTGCTCTGCAAGTTTGTAAGTCGGAGTCCTCATAACATTGATGGAAGCTAATATAGACAGCCTTATTTTTTACATTGTGTTTAGCCATTTGGTTTGGTTGAATATAGCGTCTCTTAGTTATTTTATGTTATTTAAATGTTTACACTAAATAAAAATGTGCAATGCACAGGACTGATAATAAATCATATATGCCACTGGCCTTGGTTAAAGCTATACTGTAATAATAACTTGTAACTCTAACATTTTTGTAAAAGACAAAAAAGTTCAAATAAAAAGCAATGCTTCATCACACACATAGTCAACATGTATTTCAAGTATGTGGCTGAATGGATGAAAGTAGTTAATCAAAGATGATTGCCTGCTCCATGCAAACCAAGCTCCTCTACCTATTTTTGGGCTGAATTGTTGGCAACAATTTGTTATTGTTGCAGACGAGTGGAGAAGAAATGTGGTTTAATGGATGTCTCCTGAACCCATTAACCCACAATGCTCCTGAAAGTGGACATGAGAGTTATTAATAGCAGCAGTGTGGAGGCTTTGAAGCAGAGCCCTCACCAGTGTACGATGGTATGTGTTTTGTAAATGGCTCCATCCACACGCCGCAGTCTGTACGTTTCCGCTGCAGCTGCTGGAAACCAAGCAGTTAATATGACGGCTTCAGGAAGAAAATAGCAGGGAACAATTTAAACCATGGGCAAATCAAATCATAGCAGTGATTGCACAATTACAAAAACCTCTATTTATTACATCACGTCAATGCATTTTCATATTGTTTGAGCTGAATGACCACAACGTCATCTTTTCTGCAGTTGAAAAACAAACGGATCAATTCAACACAAGATTTTTAGTTGATTGGCTGCCAAAGATTACGGTTGACAACTCCTAGCCAATCAGGTGAGAGTATAGCATTTGAAAGCAGTTGAGCAATCAGAGTACAAATTGGGAATGTTCAGCCTTACTACACATATTGTGAAACACCATAGAGAACCTTAATCTAGGTATGATCGAATGATTAGTTTCCTCTGTTTATGATCCAAAGTGGAGTCACTATAATATTTGTTATCTGCCATTACTGGGTCCGAGTTTATTTACTTAAACTTTGGGTGAGTAACATTGAAGAAATCAGCAAAAGTTAGCTACTGTAGATTCGGGAAAAACGGAACTGCTACGGAGAGTTACCTGGTAGCTGACAAAGACAGTAGAGTACAATAGTAACACAGCTGAGTAAAGGAAGGTCAAATTCTGGTATGCTTTATTTGAGCCGGTAGGGATCTAAATAAGTCCAGATCGGCCCAGATAGTGATCCAGAGCAGTGGCTCAGGACATTCTTACATTATTCCTCCCTTGAGTTATAGCAGACTAAATAAATACTCTATGAGAAATAAATATGCTGATGTAGCTAAATCAGAAGCATATGATTTATAACCAAAACCAAAACAAATTAATGGTGATGTCTGAATTGATTTAACTCATCAATGTGACAACATTTATTGAAAAAACATATAGTACCTAATCTCTAAACACTTTATTTTTCAATAGTTGGTCTTTGGAAAATACTTGGAGGTTGGGGCCTATCATTTTGGGCACATTTAATTTGCCATAAAAAGACAAAGACAGTGATCGTCATCTCAACATTTTTCAGGGGGGACACAGGGGGGACACAGGGGGGACACAGGGGGGTCCCAGCTCAGTGTAATGGGGCACTAACCCCTGTTAGCCCCCCCCCAGAACCGCCCATGGTCACAATCAAACAGGAAAAGGTTGCTGCTTTTCTATTCCGTAGAAGCGGTTGGTAGCTATCTCTATTGACCAAAATTGATCGATCTTTACATCCCCAGTAAAGAAGGCGGGCGATGGAACCACTGAACTGTGGAAAACTAAATGTGCAGTGTTGCCAACAGTTTTACAATTTACGTAGCCAAATAACATCATAAACTCATGTGCGTCAATTAATTAATTATAACAAAATGCACTTGAAAATATGTATTGCTTTTTCCCTGAAGTCTGAATAAGCCTCTGAATGTAGTACTTAAGGCTCTAAACTGAAAGCGATCAACTGTCTTTGCGGAGAGGGGGCTAAAGATTATGCTATTTAGAAACGTAGTAAGGGAAATTTGATCATTTAATGCTGGGATACATTGAAACATCAACCATCTTATAATAGGTTTGGTTTTTTTCCTAAGTTGACTGCCTGTGGTCTTAGGGCAAATATGACATCAATAAATTATTAATAAATAAAATGCTTTGTCTTCCCCCCAAGGCAATGTTAGGGGAAACACTGACGTTCATGTTTCTGAGCTGTGGACAAACAAATCATTTCTTAAAACATTTACGGCTGTTTTTATGACATCACTCTATCCCCAACTGGCCTCCAGGACTGGTTATGGTGTGTAAAAGCTGCACATGAGTAGAACAAAATATCACTAGAGTAAATCTGTGACCATTTTTATGACAGGTGAGGAAGAAATGTTAAAGTTTGACCTTTCCACACAACAGATCCTCTATCCGATTTAAACATGAGTAAGAACAGAACAGTCTTTTGAATCACATCAGTTTAATCAAATTACAAAGTCACAATAAGTATAAGGTCAATTTTTGACTAACAACATATTTTTGCTTTTGTTAGGACATCTCTTGCATGCTTTTCACAGTTTTAAGAAGTACATTGTATACTTAATCACCCACAAACATGGAAGTTCATCAATTCAAAAATGTAGAGTAAAGTGAAAACTATTTTGAACCTTAAGTTGAAATTTCAAAAAATGCATGAGCAGAATCGTTAACATGGGACAGTCTTTCGAGACAAACAAAGACAATCTAACTCTTAGTGAAAAAAGAGCAAACATTTTTATGTCTCGCCATATTTAACCCTGAGAAATGTGACCAAACAGTAGGAGCCATTTATGGGTATGTCATTCAAAGCTTGTTTGTAAAGGCCTCTTACAGTCAGATCTTTACTTGAAAGTTGATCTCGGCTATTTTCTGTTATGCAGTCACCTAATAGTTTTGTCTCGAATAGTCTTCCATACACATGCAAATATTCACAGGCAAATGCATGTTGTTCCTGAGTCTCCGAGGAAAATCATATAAAGTCTCTAGATATTCAGGCCGTCCATCCGGCTCCTGTGACTGCTCTGTCTGCTCGACTGACAACTAGTTCTATGCTGATTCTGCATCTCTAATAAGGCCTGGTTTGCGAGTTTATTCTCCTCCATATCATCTTCCTCTTCTTGACCTTTTCTCTCCACCGCCATATTGTCTCTGTTCTGCTTGAAGACCACTTTGCTGCTGTAGGGGCTGAAGGCTGAGGTTTGCTCCGTATGGAAAGGTCCAGGCACTGCATGATGCCCAGAAAAGTAGCTATATTCTGGGACACAGGGTATGGCTTCAGTTCGGGTCTTGGAAGCCTCACTAATAGCATGTGATCGTCTGTAACGGAGGCCCTGCTGGCACTTTTTGAAACCTAGATGGTAAATTTCCACCAGGTTGAGCAGCAGGGAGACGGAGGCCACGGCCAGCATGAAGATGATGAAGATCGTCTTCTCAGTGGGTCGGGAGATGTAGCAGTTCACCATATTAGGGCAAGGCCAGCGGTCGCAGGTGTACATTGCCTTGAGCTCGAAACCATACAGGAAGTACTGAGCTACAATAAAGAACACTTCGAACAAGGTCTTGAAAATAATGTTGAAGACGTAGGTACGCAAGAGTGCGCCTTTCAAGCGAACATGGCCCTGGTTGTCTTTAATTGAGGCCTTCTTGGCTTTAGTGACAAGTAACTCCTGGGTTTGCTTTTCACCCTGCATGGCATGGTCCTTCTCTTTCTGTTTGTCCTTTTCCTCCATGCGGACCAGATGAAGGATGTGGCCGAGATAAATGAGAGTTGGCGTTGAGACAAAGATGATCTGCATCGACCAGAAGCGGATGTGAGAAATAGGGAAGGTCTTGTCATAGCAGACGTTCTGACAACCGGGCTGCTTGGTGTCACACGTGAAGCCGGACTGCTCGTCGCCCCACACCTTCTCAGCGGCGGCCCCCAGCACCAGGATCCGGAAGATGAACAGCACTGTGAGCCAGACTTTGCCCACAACAGTGGAGTGTTCCTGGGCGCTCTCCAGCAGCTTCCCCAATGAGTTCCAGTCCCCCATATTGGCTCACAAATAGAGACTCGGATTTATCCTCAAAAACAGGAGATTCACCTGAAAGGTGAGGGACATTTTTTACTTTCACTTGGATTAAATAAACACTGTAATTTTGCAGTCTCTGGCTTAGAATTTTAAACAGACTTCCTACAGCATGTCCTGAAGTCACAGGCCCTTTCTTGGACAGGGCTCGGCTCCGAAACCTTGGTTATGAAAATATTTTTCTATTTTCTCTTACACAAAATACACTACTTAGTGACATTTTGATCAGGGATAACAGATTTCTTGACCTATGCAAGTTGTGGAGACAACCCTTTTAAGTTGATATGGTGAACTTGTTAGCATATTTGGCCATTTACTCTAGACCTACTTTGGAGTTGTGTAGAGTTCTGTCTGGTTTGAATGAATTGCTGTCTGCTTTGTTTGTGGTCCCTACTAGGTCCTGAGAGGAAATATCTAGATATTTAGTCTGGGATGCTATAATTATTTGCTGTTGATTGCGGGTTGATATCTGCCTTGTTGACAGCCCTATGCAGTGGGGCCCAAGACACTCAGGGGGCCACAAGCAGAAGACACCTCACCATGACACCTCCGACAGCACCCCCTCCTGCCCCCGTAGGGTCGGATGATCATTCAGTGAGCATGTCAATTTCAAATTCTCCTTTTCTTTTGCTTTTAATGCATGCACTGATTTATGTTATTAATAATTTAAATGACACTTCACACATAATCACATTAAATCCATTAGTTACAGTAAGTCAAAACAGATTACTTGCTGTGCTATTGACTGGCATGTATGGCATCCCTTATAGGCTTACAATTATAAATATGGTATTGGTCTGTGATTGTCCCCCCACAACCAAAGGCTAATGTACTTTCTTCAGAGGAGACATACTAAAATGAAACACATATTTATTATGAATTCACTGTTTGTCCTCCCAGAGTTTGTGTCCTATCTAGTGTAGTCCGGGACACAGCTGACTGTGTGTGAGAGATCGCCCTGCAGCAGGCTGGGGAGACTCTTATGATCTTGTGACACAGTACCCGGCAGTGCTCCCCGACTCCAGAATTAGTTTTGTAGTTTATATAGCAGAGCCTATTGGTTTACAACCTAGCAGAAATGTTCTTTAAATATAATCGTATGTGTCCACTAGTCGACTCATCAGCGGTTGACAAAGTGTGAATCTGAACACCTGCTTGAACCTATTGTGGTAGGATTTACAGGAACACTTGATGGATTAACACTTTGTTAAGTATGTTAAATACTGAGCCTGGAAATAAATCCCAAATTAGATATCTAGACTGCCAAGCTAACTTTAGAACTCTAGTATGTTTTTGACGATTCATTTAGACATTCAAAATATGTATTTTGGATATATTGATTAAGAAAAGCATACCTGGTAATCATCTCCTGCCGATCCAGAGTCAGTTGGTGACTGAGCCTCTTTGGTTCACAGAGAGGCCATGTTCTCCTGAGCCACTGAGGGAACTGGAGTGCTAAGATAAACTTTTCGTTTCTCTGGACGCTGTGTGATCCCGCCTGCTGCCCTCCCTCTCTGACCCCGGTGTTCGGCAAGCCACCACAGCCTGGTCCGCGTGCGAGTATATGAGAAGATTCCCACTTGGAGATCAACTATAAAACACCCTGACTAAGAGGTGTTCCTGTTGGATGGAGTGGCAGCTCAGCAGGCCAGTGAGGATGCAGGTTAGTCTTACATGTCAGTGAGGTCTAAATATAATTCCTTGTGATGGGAGGAGCTTTGTTGTCACTCTCATGTTGAACCTTGACTGCATGGTGGGGCGTTGGACACTTTCAAATCTCCCTTCAGTGCTGCAGTGAGTGTTACTGCTTTTATAATTCTGAAACAAGATGCACACATTTTTCCTAATCCAGTTTATTATCTGAAAGTTTGTCATTCTTTGTGGAAACTCAAGCAAAGTTTCCCTTTCTTGTGTTTTTGTCATGTTTTGCTTTTTTTATGAACTGCATTGTGTCCTTGGGTGTCATGAAATGTGCATCCAAATAGAATGTATTTGATTTGTGCAAAGTACATCTTCTAATACTGTACAACTTTACCCCTTCTCTTTCTTTACACTTTAAACCTCACTATATTTCAGGGAGAAATGTTGGTTGAACTTTTTATAAGTCCATCTATGATGCATTATGAACAGGGGTGCACGTCA